TAGAAGATATAGAAGGGGTATGCTGTAACGCTCAATCGCTAAGTTCAACTCCTAGCGCTAAGGTTTAAGTGTGTCCAGCCCTTTTTGAAGACCACCTCCAAATTTGGTAGCGACTGGCCTTTACAGGGCGTGACAGCCGTCTAAAAGTTGGGTGGGCAGGTCGGGCCGCAAGGCATGCTGGGGTGCGTAGTCTTTCTTTCTGAGACCAATCCCAACGCCGCCTTCCGCGCCCCGCCTTGACATGCCCAATCAGAGGGCTGTAACGTGGCAGCCACCCGCAGCCCCGCCCGCGGCGGCGCCTACCACTCGGCGTTGCCGCGCAGGGAGAACGTGGCGCGCTCCTGGCGCTGCGAGACCGCCCGCGGTCCCGGGTCCACCCCGCGCCTGGGCGGCGACGCGCACGCTGCGCGTCCACACCCTTTTCCGGTCCGGGCAGTCGCGACCGCTCTTGCTGCTGCCGGTGGATGCTGCGCCTCTCGGAGCGCAATATGAAGGTGCTCTTTGCTGCCGCCCTCATCGTGGGCTCCGTCGTCTTCCTTTTGCTGCCAGGACCCTCCGTGGCCAACGATAAGAAGAAGGGACCTAAAGTCACAGTCAAGGTCTGGGCTCCCCTCACCGGCAAGGCCTGCCTTCCGCCGCCTTCGGTCCGGCTCAAGCTGGAGCGGGTCTGGCCCAGTAGTTCCGACCTGAGCGTCCTTGTTCTTGTTCAGCGTTTCCTTGGGTTGACTTTGATCTCTGAAGCCAGACTCACCCCACCTACTCAAACTAGAGAATAACCCAGACTTCCCTAGCCCCCCGCCCTGACCCAGGATGCCCAGCTTCGGTCAGCAGGGACATCCTCAGGACGGTCCCTTTGCACATACCCTGCATTGTCGGGAAATGGTGATGGATCAGGATTGCAGAATCTTCTTTTACTATGGTCACTCCAGTTTAGTGTGTTTTGTAGCACACACAGTAAATATAGTTAAAAATTGCAAGCACAGAGATCTCCTTGTGTATTTCTCTCTTTTAAAGTCTGTTTCTATCAACTGGAGGCATTGAAAGAGCACAAATTGCTATTCTGTAGTCTGAGAACGAAAACTTTTAAAAAATGTTACATTATTTACTTAGTAGAGAGAGGGACTCAGAGGTACCACAGTGCAACTGTGGAGGTCAGAGGACAATTTGCAGGAGTCGATTCTCTACTTCCATCATGTGAGTCTCAGGTCTTCAGGCTTGGCCACAACCGAATTTTTCCCTAGGCCATATGGCCAGTCTGTAATCATTTCTTGGGGTGAAGGATAATGAAGCAACCCAGCTTCTGTGGCATATATGTACTCCCAGATACTTGGGGTGGATTACAGTTTAGCAAGATTAATTACTGGGGTTATTAGCTCGGTAGTGGACCTCTTGCCTGCCTGCCGTGGCCTGCCATTTCATCACTCCCCAGTACTGGGGTTGGAGACATCTAGAGCTTTCCAAAGTGTACAGATGGTTGTAGCCGCCATCTAGGTGCTGGGAACAGAAAGTGTTTGGTCTGGAGAAGCAGCAGATGTTCTTCATAGCCGAGCCATTTCTCCAGCCTGTTCGTTGGATTTGTACAAGGATTTTGCCTCCATCAAAAGCAGACTCAGCCACCGATTTAGGCTTTGTTCTCTCTCATGGGGTAATTCCTCAGGCCCCGCCCTTCCCTGCCAAGGCCCCTGTAAAAGGCTAAGCTTGGACTGTTCACTTTTCTTAGGTATTCTTTGATTTCCAAATTGGAGATGAACCCGTAGGACGAGTGGTCTTTGGACTCTTCGGAAAGACTGTTCCAAAAACAGTGGATAATTTTGTAGCCTTGGCTACAGGAGAGGTAAGTGGCTGGTATAAAGGTAGGCAGCCCTACACAGAGATGGAAACAGCTGGGACTTCAGAGTGTGGCCCATTTGTAGCGGTAGCCAGACTTCACTAACTGGCTTCCCTGAGGACCAGATATTTTTGTATATTAAACAGGAATAAAAGGGTCCAGTTTTTAATTTTGGAGAAGGCCCTGGAGCTGCAGTGACTTACTCAGAGCCTCAGTTGCCCACAGTTTGGCACTACTCGGAGATTGGGCTGGTTCTTCCAACCCCTGCTGCTTCCTACAGCTAGTCAGCTAGTAATAAGCCAAAGAGCTAAAACTGGCAGCGTCACAGTTATCTGTGCCAAATGGTTTGGTGGCTGCTGAAGTGTTAATGTGGTTTTATGTTGGAGAGAACATAGGCAAACATGGTGCTGTTTGCTGTAATGTTTAAAGAGTAATCTTTAACATCTGATTTTATTTGAGTTCTTATTTGAATGTTCTTAGACCACGTGATTTGACTAGTTTTGGAATGAGAGATTTTTTTGGGGGGGAGGAGGTTGGTTAACCCTGGCTATCCTGGAACTCCATCTGTAGACCAGACTGGTCTTGAACCTACCTGACTCCCAATTGCTAGGATTAAAGGCTTATGCCACTACACATAAAGCTCTGAGTTATAAATTTTTTAAAAAGAAAAAAGGGTCCAAGGGACTTGATGGAAGAATATGGCAAGGAATTTTAAGGAGACATACATTCTGTTTAATGAAGTTTGTATTTATTTTGGTTTTTCTGAGACAGTTTTATGTAGCCCCCTGGCTGACCTTGAACCTGATTGTAGCCAGGGGTGATTTTGAGCTTCTGATTGTGCCTGCTTCTGCCTCCTGAGTGCTGGGGTCACAGGCACACAACACCATGCTCAACTTATACAGTGCTTAGGGTAGAACCCAGGACTGTGTTCCTGCTAGGAGAAGCACTGCTACCTGAGATATATCCCCAGACTTCGAATTTGTTCTTATGAGAACAGAATGGGGGAAACAGCATTTCATGGCCTGGGTTACATCACTTAGGAACTGTAGAAAGTCAGAGGCTAGAGATCCGTTTTTTTCCCAGATCTGTATGCTTGGTGTTGACCTGCAATGGCTGGTCCCTTAGTACATTAGATGCTGCATCTATACCAGAAAGAGCTGTGGGCGAGGTTCTCCAGGCCTCTTTGATTTCATTCTCTGTTCCTGTCTTCTCTCTTTCCAGAAAGGATTTGGCTACAAAAACAGCAAATTCCATCGTGTCATCAAGGACTTCATGATCCAGGGTGGAGACTTCACCAGGGGTGATGGCACAGGAGGTAACTTCAGGTCCTCTGAGCAGAGGAGTCTTGACATTGTAGTGTTCAAGGTAGAGTGGCCAGGCATCGTCTCTCTCCTGCATTGAGATTAGCTGTACCCTTCTTTGAAAGGGGGACCCAGTGCAAAGGAGAGGAAGGTGGGGGTCAGGTATACGTGTACTCTCTTCCATTAATACAAGTCTATAGCTTGTACCGCACAACCTGTTGCTTGTGTCACACACATACATATACATTTAAAGGGCCAGAAAGGTGGGTAAAATACTTGATGCCGAGGCTCATGACCTGACATTGTTTCCTGGGTCTCAAACATTGGAAAAAGAGAACTGACTTCTGCAAAGTGTCCTCTGACTGCTACTGTGGCATGATCATGTGCACCCATGCACATTTGCACACACACACAAACTAGAAATAAGTAAGGGTGGAGAACTCAAGGCCAGTGGTGGTGTGTGCCTGTAACCTGTGCACTCAGGTTAAGACAGGAGGTTCCGGCCAGGCAGTGGTGGCGCACGCCTTTAATCCGAGCACTTGGGAGGCAGAGGCAGGTGGATTTCTGAGTTTGAGGCCAGCCTGGTCTACAGAGTGAGCTCCAGGACAGCCAGGGCTATATAGAGAAATCCTGTCTCCAAAACAAAACAAAACAAAAAAGACAGGAGGTTCCAGGGTCACTTCACAGCTGGCCCGGCCAATTTTAGCACACCAGGGGCTAGAGAAATGACTCGGGTTGAGAGTACTTGCAGGGGGTAGGACTCGGGTTGAGAGTACTTGCAGGGGATAGGAATCCTGGGCTCCATTCCCACGTGTTGACTCACAACTGTTTGTAATTCCAGTTCCAGGGAATCTGACACCCTCTTCCGGTCTCCCCAGGCATATGTATGGTACACAAACATACGTGTATACAAAACACCCATACACTTAAACTTTAAAAAAAGCCAGTGTGGTGGTGCATGCAGTGGTATAGACAGATGAGCCCAGACTGGTCTGCAAAGTGAGTTCTAGGACAGCCAGGGCTAAACAGAAGCTATCTCAGAAAGAAGAAGAAGAAGAAAAAAAAAAAACCACAACAAAACAAATTGGTAGGCATGAAGCTTAACCATTTGCAAGGCAGATGACTGGAAGTTCTGTGATAGATTAAGTGTAATTTGTGTTTACCATCGTAAAGGTTAAAATACAAATTTCAATTTTGTGTGTGTGTGTGACTTGGAGATCCTTGTGTCGTGAGGGTGAGAATGAAACTCAGGATATAGCGTGGGTTTTTTGGAATGGACAGTTGCAGTCCCATAGTCGACTTAAGATTTCCACAGATGGAAGTCAAGTAGGAAGTGTCGGCAGTCAGTGTCCAGCCCGGAGCCATTGCAGGAAACAGGCCACCTCACCCCAACTGGTCTAGTCTTGGTTCTCTGCCTCCCCAGAGGCTACACAGTCACCTACATCTCCCTGGTCAGTCTCTGGCCAGGGCAGTCCCTGACCTGAGGCATCCTGAGTCGCTGTGGGATGAGCACTGGTGAGCTGAGAGCAAAGGAAGTTAGTCACTGTGTGTCACTGGCCTGGAACTCCTAGAGATCTGCCTCCTGCGTGCCGGGAAGTGTGTATGGGGTTGGCTAGCACATGCCATCGCATGCATGGTAAAGTCAAAGAACAACTCCCAGGAGTCAGTTTTCCTCTTTGGCAGCAAGTTGCCTTGTATGTCAGGCCATCTCACCAGCCTGAGAGGATGGCTGCTTCTGTGTGAGTGTTTCTCAGGCCCCATAGTCTATTGGTGGGTAACGGGGAAACCAACTTTGCAACCAAGATTTTGGAAAGGGTATGAGGCTCTATGCTCACGGTCATGGCCCTGGATCCGTACCCCACACAATGACAAACATTCATGAGCATCTTTTATTTTATGTTCCTTGGTAAGAGGCTCTTGGCTCGTAAAAAACAAATAGGAGCCTACTACTTCCTATTTTTCCTCTCCAAACCAACCCCCATTGCAGCTGCACCCATCTTGTAACCCTGGAAAGGTAGTCTGGTTGACTACAGCAGCCCTTTTCTAAAGGATTCTACATCCACGCACCCCCATGCTCCCAGCATCCTGCATGTGGCAAGGCATCTCTTTCAGCCTGGCCTCATACCCCAGGTGGTCTTAGCTCGGGTAGAAGATAGGAAGGCTGTTCTTGGAAGGCTGCCACTCAAGCCTGTATAGATCCTCGCTCGCCCAAGCACCTGCCTGTTTTGGGTCAGCCCACCTCCCTGCCCTGCTGTCTCTTCCCAGGAAAGAGCATCTATGGTGAGCGCTTCCCAGATGAGAACTTCAAGCTGAAGCACTACGGGCCTGGCTGGGTGAGCATGGCCAATGCAGGCAAGGACACCAACGGCTCGCAGTTCTTCATAACTACAGTGAAGACCTCCTGGCTAGACGGCAAGCATGTGGTTTTCGGCAAAGTTCTAGAGGGCATGGTAAGTTTAGAAGTCGAGGGTTAAGCCTTGGTAGTCTTTACTAAGGATCCAGCTGGAACAGGCAAGGGCTTCAAGCAGAAAATCTTTTCCCCAAAGGCTCCCAAGCCACAAATACAGACAGACCAGCACCGGTTCCTCCTAACCTGGCATGGGGTGGCAAAGTGTCAAGAATAAACAGCCTGACTGGGTGCCTTGCACATTCCTGTTCCTTTCAGGAGGCTGAGGCAAGAGGGTCACTTGAACTCAGGAGTCAAAGGCTAGGCTGGACAACCTGAGACCACATTTGAGAGTGTCCGTGTGGCTGGCTCCATGAGAGTGCTTAACCTAGAATGCTTGGGGCCCTAGGTTAATCCCTAGCACCACAATCAGGAGAAAAAATACATGATACTTAGCCTGCATCCCCATGCGCCCAGGTTCTAAGTCCTTCTAGGCCCTGGACAACCCATTCAGAAGACCTTGTCAAGCTCCCCTGGTCACTCATTGAGTCAGGGATTCAGACTCACATGTGAGCAGTGTTGGACCAGCTATCCAACATCGTGTTCTGTGCTCACCCTGGCTCAGTTCACCTCAGTGCCTGAGCTTTTGAATCCTTTGGCTTGTGTGTTCATCCCTCACTGGGGCTCTCTCCCAGCAATGTGCCTCTTGTCCCCCACCCAACCTCTCCTCTCCTGCCTTTCTTCTCTAGGATGTGGTACGGAAGGTGGAGAGCACCAAGACAGACAGCCGGGACAAGCCCCTGAAGGATGTGATCATTGCAGACTGCGGCAAGATTGAAGTGGAGAAACCCTTCGCCATTGCCAAGGAGTAGAGGGCCTCGGACCTCATCTCTCTAAGCGGATCCCTCTGTGCGGTCCCGTGGACACCCTCACAGGTGAAGGTAGCCAGTCACCAGGTTCTGTGCCGCTCTGGCCCCAGTGCTTCCGTCTGATGGGGTGGCCACACCCCTCACATTCCACAGGCCTGATTTTTATATAAAACTCTACCGATGCTGATCAATAAAGACGTGGGTTTTTTTTATAACTTAGGTGTGGGCTCTGTTTAGGGGTGTATATAGCACCTGTCCTGAGTTTTGTCCCAGTGTGGGACTCTTCTGTGCTGATGGATGCATGCTCCTTCCCTGGGTTCCCACCTAAGCCTGTACTAGTGCGTCCTTCCCGCTGGTCACCAGTCAGGTTGTCTAGCTAGCGCCTGTGCCTCATCCTAAGCTGCTTTAACCTGTTAGGCTGGGCTAGAAAATACACCCGAATCTTCTCTCAGCCAACCTCTGAAACTACCAAACACTTTTCTTTATCTTGACTTTGCCATGACCCCTGAGTTCTTGAGTTCTACCAGCTACAGCTGTCAGTGCAAACCAAGTTCAGAGCTTTGAGTGGGGACTGCACAACAGAGCCCAGTCCAAAGGAAGACCCAGCTTCCTATATGGAACTCCTAGGACTGAGGCATATAACTGTCCAGAAAGGTGGCCCAAAGCCTGGGCTGGTCAGGGCATCGGTGATAGAGCAGGGTGACCGTTACCCTCTGGCTGGGCTGGGCCCGGGCTGATGCTGAAGCCATAGAGACCCTGGAGCACACCGTCCACCACCACTTCTGGGAGAGGTTCTGTGGGAGACAAAGTGAAGAAGGAGCTAGCGTCTGGTATGCCTGGCCTTGAGTTTGCAGCACTCTGAGCTGCCCACAGGCTCAGCTTGTCTACCCAGGATGAGGCACTGTTGGCTTTCCCTCTTCCACACCGATTCTTACTAGCTTTTGAAGACAGGCCCCAGGGGAACAGAGACCTGGTGAACCAACTGTACTGCACTAGTTTCTATGAAGTTACAATGCAAGCTGCCAGTTACAGGAGCAGCAGGTGGCAACCCCAGAGGGACAGTAGGAGGGAGGTACAGATGGGACGCGAGACGGCTCACCTGGTGACGGGGTGTAAATGTACGGATCCACACAGAAGCCAATGGCTGGCCGGTGCTGCAGCTGTGAGCTGTGTGAAGAGTTGTGAACGGTGAGAGAAGAGGACAAAGACCCATGGACACTGAGGACCAAAATCAGCAGGGACCCACAAAGGAAAAAGAAGGAACTAGCTAACAGGCTCTGCTGGTCTGCCTCCTAGCACGTAACCACCAGGGGTCAGCAGGCCTTTAGGGCAGGACTTTGACTTGCCTGGTGTCACTAGGCAGGAATTCCCCCAGGGTGCTGAAAAGAAGAGAAACACTAAGTTGCTTGAGGATACCCAGGGGAGGTGAGGAGGGGGTGGAGACAATAGCCCAGGGGACTGTTGCTTCTATTTTGTACCAAGCCCAGTTCCGGAGGTGGAGGCGAGACAGAGTAACCGAAGCTGTCCACCAAAAAAACGGCCCCTGCTCCAAGTCAAGAAAGGTGATAAGGGAAGCGGTGTATCAGAACCAGGCCAGGGTCCAGTACATTCAAAAATGAAAAAAAAAAAAAGCTTGTCCTTCAGGGTTCCTTTTTGGCTGAGGACCTTTGCTACCCAAGCAGGGCTAGCCTTACCTCCAGCTGCTGGCTTTGGAGTCTGTAGGGAAGTGTCTAAGTCTCAAGAATTCCAGTAACTCCTTGGGTACATCCTGATTCAGGTACAGGATGCCCTAGAGAAGAAGACAGAGAACGTCTGCAATCAGATCCAGCTACTAATTGCAAAACCCGTTGCAAAACTTTTGAAGACATTTGTTCCAGAATAATTAAGAATTTCAAGGCAGTGGAAACAAGTATTATCAGATCAAACTCCATTCTAAGGAATGGACTGCAAAAGACTGGTCCCATGATGTAGGAAGGCTAGTCAAATAAGAGCTATCACTGTTAGAGGAATGAATCCCCACACACCTCATGAAGAAAACACAGGATCTTACCCTAGGGGTGAAGAATCTACTTGTTGGATTACTCAAAACTTTAACCCAGATAGAAAAGTTTGTACTCATTTGGAAAAACAGAGCCTGAGATGCTGAGTAACAAACCCCCCCCCCCCAAGTTGTGGGCCCCGACACACGTCCACATCCCTAACTGGCTCTCGCCTGATCCCTCAGGCTAGGGGCAACCAAGTGTGCCCCGTGCACACCTGGATATAGGTCTCCAAGCCCTGCCGGCGCTGTTCCAATCCTCTGGTCCTCCAGTTGGGCAGGCGTTTCGAAGGAAAGTCAGGCACTTTGTACCGTTTCTTGATCTGTGCATCGGTTAACGAGGTGAGATTCCAGCAAAGCTCTCAAGCCCACTGCACCTAGCCGAGGACTTTCTCCAGTCCTCTATGTCTTTAAGCTTCGACCTGGGACAGCTGGCAAGAGGTGGTTGGGACAGAAGTGACAAGCCAGAGAGTGGAAAGGGCGCACATGGACAAGGTCAGTCTGAGCTGGGCTCTAGCCAGTGAGGGGCCCTGCAGTCCTGAGTTAGTCGCCTATGATCTGCACCCTCCCGGGGGCTGGAACAGTAATGAGGGGGGCCAACCAGAAGCTGGGATCAGAGCTCTTTCTCATGCCACCCAGGGGCCTGGCCTGGAGCCAGATCGGTGGGTAGTCCGCGACATCTCACCCGCTTGTGTAGAGCGTGGAACTCGCTGTAGCGCCGCGGCACGGTGTGTCTGCGTCCGCTGTACAGCACCTCCACTTGGAACACCTGGCGGGCGGAGGAGTGTGGGCGGCGGGTCCAAAGGATGCAGTAGGACCCGCGCCGCGAGACGCGCCCAATGTCTGGTGTTTGAAAGGCACAAAGCCGACTTGGCGTGCCACCATCAGGGACACCCCTTCCGAACCCCACACACACCTGAAAGAAAAGGATGACGGGCCCTCCCCTCTGCTCCACGAGACCCCTCAAGAGCCCAGTCAATTGTCCAAGGGACTGGCAAAGCCAAGTAACCCCGAACCTTTGCAACGAATGTCCTAGCCCTGAATTCTGGGTCCCTTTTGCGCCGGTCGCGAGGATATTCGGTAGATCCCCACACGCACTCTTCGTCCATTTGCTCACCATGTGTCCTTTCTCTGGACTCTGCCTGGGCCCTTCGGCCTCGGGCCCCACCGAAGGGATATGAACTTCCAGCATCCGCGCCCCGACCCAGCCACAGCCTCTCCCGGATCGAGCGCTAGGACACCCGAACTCCTGGGAGCAGCCAGGCAGCCCTAAGTGGACGACCCGCCCTCGGGCTCCAAGCCCCGCCTCACTCTCTGGATTTTCAGCTCCAGGCTCCACCCTCTGATCCGGGACCCCGCCCTCTCCACGCCCAGGGTGTTCCCTGGCCCACTAAAGTCCTGAGGCGAGAAGATAAATCCGTGGGCCGGTTGGCAAGGGAAGGAACCCCCAGCGGGGTCATCCATTTGTCAAACATTTTCCTAGCGTCCACTGCCTGCCAGGTAGGCAGCTGAGCTAAATTTTTTTCTGGTCTTTCTAAAATTTCTCCTGGTCTTTGTTGAGTGCCCTGGATGCTAAGGTGCCAGACGAAGTCACAGTGGGGTCCAGGCCTGGGCTTTTGCTTAGGATCATCATTGTTCTCAGAGAACCTGGCCACCCCAACCTTCCCTGTCTCATGTGGTTCCGGTAACACCACCTGAAGACTCCAACTGAGGCAGTGCCAGGTTGAGGCTGGGATCCATTCTAGCTTTGATGAGTACCTAGAGACCATTCATTTATTCCATCCATCTACCTGTCCATCCATCTATCCTTCCTATGTTAGCATGCCTAATTTGCTTCAAGCTAGTGTATGGTGAAGAGGCAGTTTAAAAGCCCAGGCTCGCCGGGCGGTGGTGGCACACGCCTTTAATCCCAGCACTTGGGAGGCAGAGGCAGGTGGATTTCTGAGTTCGAGGCCAGCCTGGTCTACAGAGTGAGTTCCAGGACAGCCAAGGCTACACAGAGAAACCCTGTCTCGAAAAACCAAAAAAAGAAAAAAAAAGCCCAGGCTGAGCATTGATGGCCTGGAAATGAAGAACCGTGTGGACTTCCTGCACAGCTGTAAAACAAGGAAGAGTGAAGTATAAAAACTAAGTGAAACCGGATGGCACGGGCCCGGGGTTCCACGGAATGATGAAGCTGAGGCAAGAGAATTGTTTGAAACCAGAAGTTCAAAGTCAGCTTGAGCAACTCAGCCAGGACTCAATAGTGGCTTCCTTCTGGGCTTGTTCTGTTGGGATGGATGGGTGGAGACGGACAGATAATAAAAAGTAGGTACAAGAGAGTGTGTAGAGAAGAGGAACTGTGGGAAGTCATGGCTGTGCTCGTCTACCCTGCTGGTCTTCTTTAGAATGTAGTAGAATTTTTGGTTGGTTCATTGCTTGGTTTGGATTTGGTTTTCTGGATATGTAGACAAGTTTTCTCTTTGTAGCCCTTGGTGTCCTGAAACTCCATCTCTAAAACAGGCTGGCCTCTAACTCAGAGATCAGCCTGCCTCTCCCTCCCAAGTACTGAGATTAAAGGCATGTGCCTGCCCAGCTATAATAAGATTTCAATACAGGGGGCTGGAGAGATGGCTCAGCGGTTAAGAGCACAGACTGCTCGTCCAGAGGTCCTGAGTTCAAATCCCAGCAACCACATGGTGGCTCACAACCATCCGTAATGAGATTGGATGCCCTCTTCTGGTGTGTCTGAAGACAGCTACAATGTACTCATCAATAAAATAAATAAATAAATAAATAAAAAGATTTCAATACAGAACTATCACTTCATGTGTAAAAACAGAAATGGCTTTCATTTCTACCTCACCCCCCACTCCTCACTCAGCTCTAGGTAAGGTGTTACCAGTCAGTAGCTCAATGGCCAAGAGAAAGGGAGGGAGAGAGAGAGAGAGAGAGAGAGAGAGAGAGAGGGAGGAGAGGGGGGGGCAGACGAGAGGAGGGGAGGGGGGGGGGGGGGGGGGGAGGGGAGAGAGAGCAAGCCTAATATTCCCTGGCTAATACATTTGTGTAACTGAATGTGGGTGTCTTAACAATTTGGCAACAATAGAAAGTTTCTGAATATGCAACAACTAAAAATTAATTTAAACTCCAACATGTGATGAATCTAAAGTGTGTTTGTATCTGGCAGCCCTTGATCGTGTCCATTCAGCTCATGCACCCTGAAGTGTCACTTTGGCCTTAGCTGTGAGCACACAACATGCACACTTTGTACTGTGCACACTGACACAGTATGCACTGCCAATTAGCATTACCCGAAATGGCTCAGCTGTACTTTGAGATTAGATTTTTTGGTTGCTTAATTTGTTGTTGTTGTTTTACAGGCTGTCCTGGAACATTCTCTGTAGACCAGGCTGGCCTCAAACTCAGAGGTCCACCTGCTTCTGCCTCCCAAGTGCTGGGGCTAAAGGCCACCACTATCTGGCAAATTGCTGTTTTTTGTTTTTGTTTTTGTTTTTGTTTTTTTCCGAGACAGGGTTTCTCTGTGTAGCCCCTGGCTGTCCTGGAACTCACTCTGTAGACCAGGCTGGCTTCGAACTCAGAAATCCACCTGCCTCTGCCTTCCAAGTGCTGGGATTAAAAGCGTGCACCACCACCGCCCAGCTTCGTGGTTTTTTTTTTGTTTGTTTGTTTGTTTTTGATTACTGTGTTTTTTTTTGTTTTGTTTTTGTTTTTTTTCCGAGACAGGGTTTCTCTGTGCAGCCTGGCTGTCCTGGAGCTCACTCTGTAGACCAGGCTGGCCTCAAACTCAGAAATCCGCCTGCCTCTGCCTCCCAAGTGCTGGGATTAAAGGCGTGTGCCACCACTGCCCGGCTCGATTACTGTGTTTTTAATGTACAAAGTTTTCTGCTCTTATAAAAACATAGTGGTTTGATTTCAAAAACACAAAGACAGTATTTTCTTATGTCATTCGGATGTGGCAGCATGTAGGTTTGCACCCTAGTTGTTCTTTGTCAATTTCACACAGCTAGAGTCATCTGGGAAGAGGAAGCTTAGTTGAAAAAAATGCTGCCAACAGAGTTCTTGTCTGCATTTTCTTGACTACTGATTGATGTAGGAGGGCCCAGCCTACTCTGGATAGTGCTACCCCTGGACCAGTGGTCATAAGGCAGACAATATAAAAACAAACAAACAAACAACACCCCCCCCCCCCAAAAAAAAAAACCCAGACAGATAGTCAGGCATAGTAGCATAATAGCTTTAATCCCAGCATTTGGGAGGTAGAGGTAGGCAGAACTCTATGAGCTCAAGGCTAGCTTGGTCTATATAGTGAATTCTAGGACATCCAGGGCTACACAAACAGGCCCTTTAGACAGCAAGCTGGAAAGTGGTCTTCTTCCATGGCCTCTTCTAGAAGCAGAGGCAGGTGGATCTCTGCAAGTATGAAGCCAGCCTGGTCTAGATAAGAAGTTCCAGGCTAGCCAGGGCTACATAAAAAAAAACAAAACCCTTTCTCGATGGGCAGTGGTGGCACATGCCTTTAATCCCATCACTTGGGAGGCAGAGGTGGATTTCTGAGGCCAGCCTGGTCTACAGAGTGAGTTCCAGGACAGCCAGGGCTACACAGAGAAACCCTGTCTCGAAAAACCAAAAAGAAAAAAAAAAGTTTGTGTAAAAGTTTTAAAGTTGGAGAGGTTTATAGACTATTGACCCTCAACAGATTTAGCTACCTGTGATGGAAGAAATTTCCTCTCACATGGGTCAACCTGGTAGGTATATCCAGCTAGGGTTACTTAATGAAACCTTGTCTCAAAAGGAGAAACTGAATTCATTCATTTTAGCTTAGGATTAGGACAGAATTTCCAACAGTTTCTGAAATGGCTCTAAACACATTTCTGCCACTTTGTACTGTGTATCTATGTTCATACATCCTTGACTTTTTGAAAAGTTGACTTTGTTTATGTGTATAGGTGTTTTGCTTGCATGTATATGTCTCAGATCCCTTAGAGCTGTGCTTATAGACAGTCATAAGTAGCCATCTGAGTGTGAGAATTGAACCTAGGTCCTTTGGAAGGACAGCCAGTGCTCTCAGCCACTAAACTTTTAACTCCCCATCCTTAGTTTTCTTGTGTTGTTATTTTTCTTTGGTTGGTAGTTTGGTTGTTTGGTTGATTTTTTTTTTTGAGACAAAGTTTCTCTTGGTAGCTCTGGCTGTCTTGAAATTCCGTCTGTAGACCAGGCTGGTCTCAAACTCAGAGGTCTGCCTGCCTCTGCCTCCTGAGTGCTGGGATTAAAGGTGTGCACCACCCCCACCTGGCACCATTAATGATTTTAAACTCCAAATACCCACCAACTCTGATAAGTGGTGATGCGATGCTCCTGCCGCATCAAATATCCAACAAGATTTTATTTTTTCTGCAGAAATGAACAGACACCTTTGTCCCGCTGCTGTGCAAACACCTGCAGCTTCAGTTATGGTAAAATTATTGTGTACAGCAAGGAATCGAGCACTAACTTCACACCATGGGAGGCCCCGTGGAGGAAGGTGAGCAGGTTGGCTTTATTAGGCTCATACCTGGAAGGAGGGGTTGGGGGTAGGGCCAAAAGCAGAGCTTCTGTCTTAGGGCTGAGGTTCGGAGACCTCTCTCTTGCTAGTACAGAAGTGCTGGTCTGCAGAGGACAGCCTCACCAACACTTGACTCTTACATTCTCCTTCTCCAAATTTAGTGTACCAAGGCCAGGGAACCAGGAAGCTGAAACTTCCCAGGTAGAGGTGGAGGTATGGTCTCTGGAAGGGAAATGACCCATTCCAAGGAGAAGTGCTGGGGTTTCATTTCCTCTTTGGGGATGTTGGTATGTGAATTCAACAAAGGAGCATTGAGTCTCTTTTACCCACAAGAGTGACCCCAGTGTTCAGAGCATCATCCTAATGGCCTCTGTCTCTTGGCCTCCGTTTCCTAGTCTCTCTCTGGGTATAAGGCCTGTTCTCTGTCTCACAATACAAACTGCTATCAGAGTACCTGCTTCCCCATAGCATTTCATGTGGAATTGAGACCCATTCTCCCTAACAGGTTAAGATGGCTTCAGCCCAACTCCCCTCACCTATCCCGTTTCTACTCCCTCCAATCACCCTGGCCACGGGAATCTTCCAGTTTTTCTAACCTTCCACATTCTTACCTGGAACACGCTTTCTCTTGACCCCTCCACTTGTGAGCTTATTGTACCCTCCTCGAAGAGGATTCCTTCCACATCACGTCAAGCA